ATGGAAACATGACAATGGACCTCAATGTATTCAATTTGTGCAAGCAATCGGGTGTCAATAAGGAAGTGCATGAGGTGAACTGGATTGACACTTTGGTGGGGGACCATATGGAACTGCTTTTTCATTCAAGTTTGGGGGAGGAAGAGTTTGGTGATGAAGAGAAACCATAAACTGTTCAAGGGGTAGGAAGTTGGGCCCCAAAATTTGAGAAACTTCCACAACAAGAGAAGAGAATTTTTTTCATCATCCATGCAAATACCAATCTTGGAATTGAAACCACTACCTTCCACATTGAAGTATGCATTTCTCGGGGAGCACAAGACATTCCCAACAATGATAAGTTCATCCTTCGAGCCGAGTCAAGAAGAAAAATTGTTGGAAGTGTTGAGAAGGCATAAGGGAGCAATTGGTTGGACAATTTTTGATATCAAGGGGATTAGTCCCCTTATTTGCACACACCGAATCTACATGGAGGAAGACACAAAACCATCCGAACAACTACAAAGAAGGCTAAATCCTATCATGAAGGATGTGGTGTTAAACTACTTGATGTGGGCAGTATTTTTTTAATTGCTAATAGTAAATGGGTTAGTCCCACTCACTGTGGTTGCAAATGAGGAGAATGAGTTGATTCAGACAAGGGTGGTCACCGTTTGGAGAGTTTGTATTGACTATCAGAAACTCAACTCATGTACAAGAAAAGATCATTTCCCTTTGTCCCTCCTTAATGATTAACCCTAATTAAGGCATAATTTAATTGGTAAATTGTGTTAGTTGAATAAAGTAAACTAGTCAAAATAAATCAAATTAGAGTTAGTGTGTGAATAAAGGATAATGCATTAATTGTTGTTCTTTTCAGGGTTTTGTACATCAAAGCTACAAACTACTGGGGAGCCAATTGCATTAAAGCTACAAACTACTGGGGTGCCAATTATCAAAGCTCAAAACAAAGGGGGATCAAAGAATTCAATGCCACCTAACAAGACTTTCATGCCACCTAACAAGACTCAAGGCCACCTAACAAGACTTTTCATGCCACCAAACAAGACTTTTCAAGGCCACCTAACAAGACTTTCTCCCTCCCTTGTTGCCTATAAATACCACTCCTTAGGACTTGTAAAGCATTCATCTTTTGGTAGTGGAAAACCCTCCAAAAGTATTATTGTTTTCCTTATTGCTTATTGCCATCTTAAAGTATTGTTTTCTTTTATTGTATTATTGCTTTCTTTTAATTTATTGCTTTCTTTTACTTTAAGTATTGATTTCTTTTATTGTGTTATTGCTTTCTTTTATTTCCATTGCTTGAGCTTCCTTCTTCCCTTAGAGGAGTGAAACTCTTCCACTTTTCTAGAGCTTTACCAAAGC